ATAAATTTCATCGTAGTTACATTAGAAATGCAGCCTTTTCAACTCTACCACACCCATATACCAAACCCACACCCCCCCCCCCCCCCCCCCCGATCTCTAGAGTGACAGAGCTCCTCTTCCATCCTTTAGTGCCAGTGCACAGGCGTTCAGGCGGAATTCACACCACTCTCTCTCACCTGGCATGATTATCCGCACACAGCGTGCTGCTTGCTGGCCCCTAGCATGAAGAGCTCCATCAGCAGGGCTCTGCATGGCTACGAAAGCTATGAATATACAGAAAAAAAAACATACAAAGAGAAAAAAAACGGAATAATCTAATGCAGGAGATAGCCTTGTTAAAACCAAACCCAATGGAAAGCAGGTTCAAGCTCCTATAGGTCCTTAAGGTGCTGTAGATGATTAAGGGGGCTGCATGTGAGGACCCATAAGGGCAGTGCATTTCACAAAGTGAATGCACTCACACACAAAATGTACATACATAGGGAGATCAGGTTTGGAATTAACTGCATATTTTACGAGGACATCTAAAGCTTTTGTTTCTTTTATCTCAGCATGTTGTATAGCGGGTGTTTTTGGCAATGTTATTGAAAAAACACATAATTAGGATTTGGGCCAAAAATTGGAGCCGCACGCTGCACTCAGCCTCTTGTTATTGTCTGGGTGGAGGCCAATGGTTTAATTCCCCACAGCAGACAAGGCGGCTACGGTGTCAAGGAGAAGCATGTCAGGTCTAGAAGATTCTGACTGATATCAGAGTAAAGATGTCCCCCACTTCCTGAAGTATCTTCAACAGTGACTCAAAAGCCAAAGAACCAATCACCTGAACATATGGATGTTGTTGCACACAGAGCACTTTCCCCCCCTCTGTCTGCAGCCAGTGGTGCCTCTCCTACTGCTGAGGGCATGAAGTCTGTCTATGCAGGCGCTCACCTGTCTAAACCAGGTCTCACGTAACAGTCCTCATCAACACCCACTATACTGGCTTTACCTTTCTGCTCTCATAAACTCTTAGCTAAAACCAAGTTCAGCTCTTCTGGGAACGTTGCATGCAATCACTATAGTGGGCTTATAATTCTATATGGGAGTCCCTAAATCCGCAAGAAAAATATGCTACATAAGATAGGTGCATGTCAACTACAAAAACATTAACTTTTATTTACTATGCAAAGAGAGATATTGCACAAACGTATGGGTAATAATGTAGACATGGAATTACAGAAACCTTTGCTAATCAGCTGATCTTTTGTATTTGGCCACTCCCACGTCTTGTTTCACTTCGCTTCAACATACTCAAACTATCAATGGACAAATAAAAAAAAAGAAATGAATAATATTTCCAATGAAAAAGCGAGAGAGCACCCTTTTACATCTGTGGAACTGAAAATCTTTTTTGTGTATTTTTCATCTGATCTGATATTTTTAATCACACACATGCACAAACACGTACACTAACACACTGTATGGCGCCTCTGCATACCGAGACTGAAATGTTTCCTTGTGCAGGGCTTTTATTCCCAGTCCAGCTGATAGTTGGTGTGTTCCAGGTGCTGCCATAGCACTGGCATCGTTGTAATCCTCCATGTAACTCATTGTCTGGTGTCCCTCTCACTGCATCATGTACAGTCGGACCGATGAATAAACTACTGACAAATTTTATCTTAGCGTCTTTTTGATTTTCCTTGACAAAATATTACTGAAGAGGTCATCTCTGCTTTTTTCTATCTGAAAACAAACAAATTCATAAATGTAGTCAACTATTAATAATGTTATAGACCACTCTATAGTGCTTCATCACATATCAATGGTGAGGTCAATTTATTTTCTTGAGGCTTTAATCCTTTTGGGTTTATTCTAACATTAAATTTCATTCACAAATTATTTTATCAAGTACAAAAAATTTAGTTAACTTAATTCAATGTGTTTGATGGTCTCTTCCTGGACACTTAACTGAGAGAAAGTACAGTTTTTTATAGTTAGCACTAAGTCATATGATTGATACATAACCGTCAAGCACATAACCTCTTGTTAAACCACAAATTACAGTTAGTTTGAACAAGGTATATATATATATATATATATATATATGTATGTATGTATGTAAATGTATATATATATATGTATGTATGTATGTATATATATATATATATATATTTTTTTTTTTCAGTTTAGAGATGGGCAGGTAGGTGGATTTCTTAACATTTTTAAGACTTTAGAGTCAGTAGAAATGTTGGTTGCAGCATGTTAACACAAAATTCAATCTGGGCCGAAGCACACACCCACTGCAGGACTTAATGTACATTTACTGCTTGTACACTGCAAGCTACCTGAGAATTTTACATTTGTTCTAATGGATAATTTAGCTGTAACAATTCAAAACCAGACTCAGACACAGGGGATTGTCCAGGACACTAAAAACAGTTTGTGAGAAAAAGCTCTTTACTTAAGTGTTTGTAGGTCACACACAGAGAGAGAAAAAAAATACGGAAAAATCCAATAAGGGCAATTCCACAAAATCCAAAGACCCACACAAGGTTCAAAACCTGGCAAGCAAACACAAGGGAAATAAGGCTGGAAAGCATGAAGACACAAAGGAGACAATGACAGCAGAGAGCTGGTGGAAACACAGCTGTATATTATGCAGATGAGACACAGGTGTTGGGACGGAAGGTGGGAAACAGAACAATGGCAGGAAGTAATATGATACAAAAGCACCAGACTACAAAACAAAACAGGAAATTAACACAAACCACATGAAAACAATATGCTAGACTAACATAATCTATTTTATGCTATCACATAAGCAAGCTAGCACAAACTAACAGTCTGTGTTTGGCCCCTGCCTGTCCAACAGAAAGCAGCACCAACTCCATGTCCACAGCTGAAGGACACCCTTGTTTTAGAACAAGCTTTATCCTTTTGGTGATTCACCTCACTATGATTATATTTTCTCTTATTTGCTGCTACATCTATTTCAGTCATATTCACCAATTTGAACCGCATCCAATCCCTGAATTGTATACAGTCCACTTTGTCATTGGCTAGGGGAAACACACCAGCTCTCCACAAGAAACGTCTCAAGTTAACTGAAACAAAAGATTCAAATATAGGCAGAGGACAGGATCTCTGCAGGCGCCATCACATGGAGACCCATAAGTGATGATTGAACTTTTGCACAAGTTTTTTTTTTTTTTTTTCATTTTTAAGGAAAAACCTCCGGACTCTACCTTTAAGAGCTCGGCTAGCTTTTTAACCCTGCTTCCATGTTTGACGCTGATCTTACTGTTAGCCCGTTGGCTGGTTTCTGTGATTGATGATTTGACTGATGGATACCAAGAGGCATATTGAAATGAAACACAGAGAAAACAGATTGAGTAAAAAAATGCCAATTTGTCAAGAGTTACAAGTGATGGCTAGCTTAGCTGAGTTCTGCCACCTGAAGTACCCCTGGAGCAAAAGTCTACCAAGCTAGGTTAGGAATCACTCAACTGTGAGACAGGATGAGGATTGAATGGGGAAAAATAAATCTTTGTGGATCTGTTTTTCTTTCATGACACACATGCTCATAACACAATGATTCCCATTTAATTGTAATAAATGGTGTCCTCTCTTCCTGTCTAGGAGCAACTTAACATCACATTTTGTGTTGAAATGTGAAATATGAAAATGGTATTCATTTAAAGTTATAATTTAGGCCTAGCAGCGGAAATTGTCTTAAAGTCTGCGTCTTTGCATTATCAGAAGGATGAATGACTAAGTAAGAAACTCACCCAGTACATTTAGTGTTGGCCCCTCACTGCGCAAGTAATTACGTTTGAGGTATGCGTGTGACATTTCAGTAAAAGCACATAAATGTAAGCACTCCCTTAAACACCAGTTCAAGAATGAGCTTGTTTTACAGGCAGCCAAACCACTCAAGTTTCTCACATTGCTTATGTTTCCTTGACTATTTTATGTTTCCTTGAAGAAATTGATCAACTAATTTAGAGAGAAAATAATCAACACAGTAATTATTCGATTTTTCAAACCGTTAAAATGAATAAAAACATACTCTGCAGAACCATATGTACATTTTATTTAGTAACTATGGGGTAAAAAACTGGAGCGTTTCCTTAGGTCAAGTTAACCAAAAGCAGGGTCAGACATTATTGTAGCAGCTGTAAAGGCTGGTTATGAAGTAAGATTATGTGTCTTTAGTTGGACAGTATCCTTTTTTTGTAGCTATAACTAACTCTAATTCAATCACATTTTCATAAAGTATTAAATATGATAATAAACCTCTGCAAGAGTTACTTTAAACTATACAGATCTCTTATGAGCCATACAGTGATAAAACATCTGCACAATTTAAAGGGGAAATTCAGTAGATCATTTGCGCATTCAAATGTTGCACCTTTGAGTTATTAAAAATGTGTTTTAAGTGTTTTAAGTAATGAGATAATAATACAGGACAACATGGACATTACAGTTATATATCCTGTAACTAAGGCAATCACCTGCATATGATCACAAGTGTTTTAAAGAAGACTATTGGAAGGAATGAAAGGCTACTAATGCATTATTAACGTGAGAAGACGTCGACTAAAGCTGCTCGCAAAGGAGGGAGGCACTGACGTCACTTAGGACCCAACACATCTTACCAAACTTCATTCAACATAGTCTTGTAAGTCCAAGCTTTAGTGGTAAGTACAATTTCTCATCAAAGTAGTCTCCTTGCTCTTTAATAATGCTTTTTCTTTAAATAGACTATTCTTCATATTTGATGCTTTTTTTTTTTTTTTTCTCCAGTTTTAAGGGTTTTATGCTTCTTTTGGTGTGCAAAACGTATTGATTGTAGGGCTAATTATATTCATTGTTGTTGTTTTTTTGCCTTAATAATGGAGCTGGGTGGGGTTTTTTTTTTACATCCGGATGCATTTACTTTAAATGTTAATTGAACTACCAAATGACTTGATTTGCTGCTCAATATCAGAAACAGCTGGCCTGTGTTGTGTCCTCTGCAGATGGCCCCGGTACTCCTCAACATACACCTGCTTATAGTGTTTGTGCTGAGTTGTGCGCGTGCCGTCCCGCTGCATGGTCAGAAAGGGGCTCAGGTGGCTCAGGTGGACCCCTTGACGGTCCCCCGGGCGAACCCGCAGTGCTGGGACTCTTCCTCGGCTCTGCTGCTGGAGATGCGCTCCCCGAGGATCGCTGACACGGTGCCCGCCTTCTGGGACCTGATGGTGACCCTCAGGACGTCAGACAACAGCAGACACACGGCTCTGTTCTGGGACCTGGCTCGGGTCTTCTGGGACCTTTATCTGGACTGCGTGCTGTCCAGGAGTCACGGCCTGGGGCGGAGACACGTGACCGCGGTACACTCTCTTATAACTGACAGTAAGTGACCAATACACATAAACACAATCATATTATGTTTAACTAATATCACTGCTGGATCATTTTTTATATATCATGATCAGAAACAGGCTAGTTAAATGCTACATTAGATCAATCTTATGCATAATAATATATTGTGACACTAGGTATTACTTTATTATAATACTCCTGATTTTACAGAATCTATCAATCTATTTTTAATAGGCTTATTTTTAACCCAATATTCACACCTTTTCATGATCCACATGTCCAATGCAACTGTGTTTAGTGTTTTATTTTTTATAGACAGCACAGCTGGTTGTCTTTTTAAAGCCTACCTATAAATTATATGTGAATTTTTACTTTTTTTATTGAACTTGTGTAAATCCTCTTATCCTTACCTGTAGCCTTCTAAACCTTATTATAGGCTATAAGAATATAACACACATTGACATTTTTACATGCTAAAGTGAATTTGCCACAAAATATCTTAACAACACACACACACACACACACACACACACACATACACACTGCATTTTAACTTGTGAAAAACAAATTTAAAAGTAATTTAATGAATGTATATGCTGAAGCCTAACAAAGTACAATTACCCAGGTACTGTAATTATGTACAAATGGTACATGTATGGTACTTTATTGAAATATTTTGATTTTCTGTCACTTTGTAGGCTACTTTCATGTTCTCCACTTCATATCAGTCAAATGTTTCACTTTGCACTCTTTGACTTTATTTTATTTTTATCACTGAGGTCCTTTACAGATTTTGGAGATAATAAAACATATAATCTACACTTAATCTCTGATATCATTATGTCTTTATCTTAAATTCTATTAATCCCTTGGGGGTAAAATTCACAATCTCCAGCAGTTGTAAAATGTAAAAAGTAAAAAGACACTGTACCTTTTTTCATCAGTTATGATTCTATAATTGAAAACGATATTCTTAATAAGTAATTATGCACAACAGGAAATCCTCCCCTTTAGAAGCTTTACCTGTAAGTTGGTGCCAACAATTTACTGAAGTAAATATTTGAGTGCATGACTTTTACATGTGTAGTATTTCTTCTTTTACAGAAGTAGATAATATGAGTAACTCCTTCACCTCCCGTTTTGATGTGGATTTACTCCATGTAGCTTTTGTCAAAGTGCTCGACTATTACAGGTACAAAAAGACTGCACCACTATCGATAATAGCAGAAGAGTGCAATTTCCTCAACAATGGAGGCAGTGAGGTGCAGACGGAAGCTGCAACTGCCTCTGATTGAAGTGTGATGTAGGAAACCTGGCTTTTAAAACAAATGTTTGAGGTCAGAGATCAGGATCCACGAAATGTCTTTAGAAAGAGGCAGAGAATGAAGACATCCTGCTCACCTAGAAAGGCATTATTCTGGAACCCTTCCATTGAGAATTACCGCCTCACATCCCTGTAGAATCAGCTCATCAGCCCACAGCAGGACTTACATCCAGTCTATATGTCTGTTCTGGTTTTAGCTCAGGTTTGAATCATAAGTGGAGACCTGATAGTGCTATATACAGCTGCCGTACAGCTGCAGCTGTGAGCACTTTGAATTAGGAGGAGGAATTGCTAAACATGTCATGAGTTTTGTACCAAACATATTTATCCTGGGCCTGTGTGTGTGTGTGTGTGTGTGTGTGTGTGTGTGTGTGTGTGTGTGTGTGTGTGTGTATGTGTGTGTGTGTGTGTGTGTGTGTGTGTGTGTGTGTGTGTGTGTGTGTTTGTGTGTGTGGGCGCACACCTTTTCAGAGTCCTTCAGATTCAACAGGTTCGGATCAAACTCGTGGGCGTGGCTCAGTGTCAGAGTGAGGTGTAGAGGACACATCAAGACCCTGAAGATCAAACCCAAATCAAACACACACTTTCACAAATAATACTGAATATGATCATCTTGTATATCATTTTTTCCAACTGAGAAACTGGAATTTTTTTTTACTGTATGTAACTGTTGGAGAAATAATGGAAAGATTACCTGTTTTTGTTTGTATGTTTTTTTGTGTATAACTGTAATAAATTAATGTATCATGGATTTAAATTGTTTGCAATTTGTTTTATATATAAATCAACTTTTTCAGAATCAGGTTTTTGGTCATAACCGTTTGAACACATACAATACATTTGTGCCCAGTTTTTTTCCAGTGTGATCAAAAATATTTTCCAGGACATGCAGCATCTTCAATTAATGCAAACTTGATATCAAGCACATATACATATTATGTTAACACAATAATATAAACAATGTGTGTTTAAAAAAGAACATTAACATATAGCCTCATGTATTTATAGATGCTACTGCTGTAAGACAAAACTATAACTTGGAGGCATAATGATGGGGTGAAGTCGTTCTGCTCCTGATCTGCTATTGGACGTAGTAACAGAATTGTAACAGGGGCGGAGCAATAGCAATGTATACTAACATCAGAGCTGGTAAGACGGAACAGTAATGTGTGTGTGCATGTCTGAGTGTGTGTGTACAAAAAGCTCCCACTGTTTGTTGTAAGATATCTTCTGAATTTAATTACAAAAGGACCTTACTATATCATCAGACATGAAGGAAACATGCTTTGTTAAAGTGCTGGCTTCTCTGACAAAGATGCAGCAGCCAGTTGTCCTCCTTTTAAGTTTTGATCTGATTTGGGTTTTTTAAATAAGCTTCACAACCAGAAACGTTGTAAGACTAGTATACATATTAAAGATAACACAGTAAAGTAGAGAGATGTTAGAGCGTAGAAAGGTTTCAAAACTGATGCAGAACTGGCTAAACACTGAAGCTTCCATGGCTGTGGCATGGCAACCCTTGTGTGCATTGATTCTTGGGTGGGGGGAGACAGCTCTCTCCAAATGTGTTGAATTTAGACATTTTTAGCTCTAAGTGTCAGTTACATATTGCTCCTTAAGGACAATCCTATGTTTCACTGTCCTCAAACAGCCGAGTCCTCCCCTGGTAAAACTTAGTAGCTTCTGCTTTATTTTGTGACCCAGAATCAAAAGTATTTGAGCCTGGTTTAATAAGTAAGCTGCTTATATGATTTTAATGATGTAGTTGACTTTATGTCGACGGGAAATTTACTCAAAGGTTATTCACAAGCTGTTCCTGTTTTCACAGCCAGTGACAGCCCTTTATGCGGTTTGTCCACATAAAGTCATGTACGTCACACAGGTAGGAGTCTCCCATCACGTGACGTGCTCTAATAGTCGTTGTTTTCCCAGGCCGCGCGCAGGCCCTCTCTTACTTTCGATTTACACTTCCTCCTTTGAGCACGTCATTTGAAAGTAAGTGCGAAGTATCTGCTAAGTTGGAGCTATGAAAAAAAACATTTGATCGGATGGTAAAGTAGTCTAAAATCATCTGAAACAAATCGAGTATGCTGAAGTGGACAACATAGCCTATATCCAGTGCGGGTACACCAGCTGAAAACTGGTCTCAGGTAACAGTCTTAATATTTACAGTCTACGGTAACAATGCACGACACACCTTTAAAGTAGGTCAACTGGTTTGAATGAAGCAGTTAAGTATTTTGGTATTAAATAGTTAGTTAGGGGAAAGTTTACGGTTTATCATTGATCATGTGGTGCTTTATGTCAGGCTATTGAGAATATGCTACTGCTCACATTCAGACACCTTCTGTGTCATTAGCTTCGTTGACCTGTAGGCTTTTATAACAAATTACATAAGCCTACATATGTTATAACAATTTTATTTTGTAACTTTGGCTCTACATGTACAAAAAACATTTGCAAAATGTAGAAAAAGGAAAGAAAGTGATAAACCCTCCTTGAAAATGTTATGCAAGGTTATCACAGACATAGTAGTTGTTGGTTTGATGTACCAGAACACAACAAGACATCAGACAGGTCTGAAATAGAGAAGCCAGATATCTGATTGTGTCTTGTTTCTCATTATTATGCAAAAAAAAGAAAGAAAAAGAAATGGACTTCCAGAAGCTCCAATTGGATGTAGGGAAGGCCCTGAGTCAGGAAGAGGTGAAAGCTTTAGCATTTCTTTGCACTGACCTCCTGGGCCTAAAAGTGACCTCAGTGGGGTCGGCCAGTGACCTCTTCTCTCGCATGGTGGAACAAGACCTCCTCTCTGCTGAGAAACCACACCTGCTGACCGAGCTTCTCCTCATCATTCAACGCACACGTCTGATCCGAGACCTCAGGCTTACCGAATCTACAACCAAGAACCTCATCTCTTCATACAGGTGGAGCGCCCATGTTTGATTGTTGTTATAGTCAATTATAGTCAATCAATCAATCAATCAATCAATCAATCTTTATTTGTATAGTACCAATTCATAACTGTTAATAATAATAATAATAATAATAATAATAATAATAATAATACATTTTATTTATAAGCGCTTTTCAAAGACTCAAAGACAAGACAAATAGTTAAAAACAGAAAGAACAGGACAGACTAACAGACATTGCAACATTACACACAAATCATAAAGATAACAACAATAAAGGTAAAACTACAGAAAACAGGAAATACATCACAATCATACACTGAAAGCTTGTTTGAAGAGGTGAGTTTTGATCAGTGATTTGAAAGTAGGAGGGTCTGTGCAGTGTTGAATGTGTGTAGGGTCTTTCTATAAACAAAAAGACATTCGACTAAAAGATCATTATATAGTTGTGACTCTCTTTCTGTATCACCAGGAAGCTGCTCTACAACCTGTCTGAAGATATAACTGATGCTAACTTGAAAGACATAAAGTTCTTGTTGAAAGGACAGCTGTCTCGTAGACAACTAGAGGACAACGTGGTGAGTGCAGTCGCTCTAATCAGTCGCTGTTATAATGTTTGAAAAACATTTCTTTAACGGTATGAGTTAGATGGTTTTGTCATACAAAATACCACATTGTCATGCCATGCTTTGTTCATCAGAAATAGAAATCAAATTCTTGTTAAGTTCAATGTAAACCTACATGTGTTTTTATTCTTCTGCTGTAATGCATCACATCACCTAACAGTACATTTGCTGAACTTGTCAGACTACTCTGGAGGTTTTCCTCGAGATGGAGCACAAGGACCTCATAAACGACACCAATCTAAACTTACTGGAGAAGTTGCTTCAGACATGCTGTCCTGTATTGACTGAAGAGATCAACAGGTACAAAGAACAGCAGGGTAAGCTACTGGAACTTCTCACAGCAAATAAAAACATTTCATTATAATTATAACAAAGTGACACAAAAGTAAATTATCAACAGGACAGCTGGGGTTGACATAGACAATGGAGACTTGTCTTCACCAGGTCCTTCCTAACACATCACTAACCCAACATTTACAATATCTTCTAGCTTAAAGAAAGTGTGAAAAGTAAAATGTTACTGTTGCATTGTGGGGATTGTATTTAGGAAGTAGGCAGGAAGCACTGGGTAAAGGAGATGTGACAGTTTATCTCTCTTGTTAAGTTTTATTGAGATTTCACCCTTACCTCATTTTTATACATATCTCTGTGTGTACATCTTGTTAATGTTGCTTGGTTTTTTTATTAACAGCATCACTTCACAGCAGCCATATTGCTCAAGAAACAGGCCGACCCAGATCTATTTCTTGCCCTCCTGAGCCAAACCAGAACCAGGTTCGTTCTTTCATGTTGCTTGAAATGCCTCTAAAAGATGTCCACCAATTCTCCACCTGCGTTTTTTGTTGTTGTTAAAAAGTCTTTTTTGTGAATGTTTTTTAATCAGTGCCTTCCATTTTCCCATCCTGAGAGGTGCAGGTCAACTGACTTTTCAGGTAAGCAGACGCACATCATTTAACAGGCAACATAAACATGTTGTCGCGTTCACGTCGACACCTTGGTGAGTTTGAGATTTGAAATGTTGAAATATTTTACACATCAGTGTTGTCGTGTTGTATGGTAATGTTTTAATAAATCTCTTTCTCAAATAGGCAAATAGATGGACAAATTACAGTTTTTGACATATCATTTTTTAAAGTTAAAATGGGAGGAGTTACAGTGAAATATTTGTAAAAGTCAAGGTCTTAACTTAAGATATTTTTCCTTCATAGCAATGATGTCAAGTCTTATAATTAAGGGATACTCAGTTAAAAAACTTAATCAAAGAATTTGTTCCCCCTAATAGAGATACCATCATTTTATACCATCCAAGTGGCCAACATTTTCCAATGCACAACAGTTCAGTTATCCACCCACATACACGCGCGAGGCATTCATATTAAATGTGCATTTTTTTTTTTTCAATTCTGATGAGCATCTTTATTGAAAACATCATTTGTGTACCCTAAAGATCCACCACCACTACCAGAGGTGAGAGTCCAGTCCACCATTATAAAACAAAGAATGTGACAAAAACCTTGAAGTGTTGGAATCTTAAATTGTCATTTCTTTATTTCTGTCACCCAGTCTACCATGAGTCCTTCCAACACGTCTGTGGGTGAGTCTCTATGCCTTAACTGTAACCTTCTAAACCTGTTTAAAGGCAGTGTCCTGGATTCAAATTGAACTTTCTTCTCTCAACATTTGTTGTAGATGAATATCTGTCCCTGTCACTGAGCAGATTAAGCACTACAAGAAGCAGCTCCCCCTCCTCCAACGGTGACTCTCGTGTTATCCTGTTATTGACACAACATGTCACATCTTTTAACCATTCAGTATAACTTTTGTCCCTTTCTCTTCACCTTAAATAATAATCTTTTTTCTTCTGTCCTACAGTGGGAAGTGATGCTTCTGTAATATCGCCATCTCAACTAAACGAGAACTCCTCTCAACAACAGACTGCTCAAACTACAAATACAAACACAGAGGTGTGTGACATTTTTGAATTACACGTGCAAGAATTTAATTACCTTTAATAATAAAATCTGGTTTACACGTATATCTGTACTAATTAGAATCAGAATCAGATTTATTGGCCAGGTATGCTTACACACACAAGGAATTTAACTTTGGTTTATCTCTGAAGGATTTGGGATCATATCCCATGACTGCAGCGAAGAGAGGACTCTGTTTGATAATAAACAACAACAACTTCTCTGAATCCAAACAACGCCTCCAGATGCGAGAGGGGACCATGGTGGATGAAGGTTCACTTTCGTTTGATCAAGTCTGATTAAAACTGCTGCATGGCTTCTTAGCTTGCTGTGTCTGAACTGGTGCTAGATTTAAAGGTCCCATATTATGCTTTTTCTGGTTTTATATGCCCTTTAGTGTGTTTTCCATGTGTCCTGTGCATGTTTAGGCACATCTATGTGCAAAAATTCAAAGTCTGCAGAAACGCAGCTTCTCCTACGTCCTCCTGTTAGCTGTAGCATTAGCTGCATGTAACGCTCGGTTCTAGCCCCCCTGGATAAAAATGTGTCAGTCCGACATCATTGTCAGTGTGAGATCACTGAGCTAAGCCCATTGGCTCGTTGTGGCAAGCCCAGCAGCTCATGTTGAAATTTCCAAGAAGCGTGCTGAGCAACTCACCAATAACGACAGAACGGATCAGCAGACCAATCAGAGCAGACTTGGCCCACATGGGGTCTAACAGTGTGGGCTCAGCAGAGTGTAGCTGACGGACTCAGAGCGTAGAGGGAGCAAGGAGGAGCAGTACATGAAAACAGACACTTTTTTAGCTATTGTGAACGTACAACAGTAGGTACATAGATTAAATATACGAACCCCAAAAAGGGCAGAATATGGGCTCTTTAAGATATCATCTGTGTGCTTCCAGAGCGCTTAACCAAAGTGTTCGAGTGGCTCGCCTTCCATGTGGTGATAGAGAGGGACTGTGATCGAAAGAAGATGCTGTGTCTGGTTCAGAACCTTGGCAAAGAAGACCACCATGACGTGGACTGTCTGGTGTGCTGCGTGCTGAGCCACGGCGAGCAGGATGGCGTGTACGGTGTGGACGGACTCACCGTAACTCTGAACGAGCTGAAGGAACCTTTCAATGGGTCAAAGTGCCCCTCTTTGACAGAAAAACCCAAGCTGTTCTTCATCCAGGCCTGTCAGGGCGTGAGCCGGCAGGAGCCCGTCTACATCGAGTCTGATGGCCATGACTCCATCCCATCTGAAGCAGACTTCCTGCTGGCCATGGCCACTGTGCCTTCTTATGTGTCTTTCAGAGAGAGGTCAAATGGCACATGGTTCATTCAGGCTTTGTGCCAAAACCTCATCCAGATGGTGCCAAAGTAAGTGACACTAAATAGCCAATATGGTTAAATAATGTGATCTCTTTGAGTGTCAGAAAGTCACATTGTTTATTTACTCATTTGATACCATGCTGAGGGTACTGAGTATCAGTGAAATGTCCTATTTTATTTGTATGGTTTTAAACATCCAACTATATGTGGGGAAATTTAAAAATGAAGGATTATAAAACCAATACCTCACTTTAAAAATGTAATTATATAATACATAATATATTATACACTTACACAGTCCACTGTGCGTAACGATTTTATTTTAATCAGGTACATTATGTTACTTACACCTCAATACCAGGCTCAGGTTAATGTTTTACATGCAGGACTTTTACTTGAAATGGACAGTTTTTGTTGTGCCACTGCTTCTTCTCTAGGTGCTGTGATACTTTAAACTATAGATTGTATCTCACTGTGTTGTTGTTTGTACCAGGGGACTCGACCTCATGTCTATCCTGACAAAGGTGAATGCAGATGTGAGCAGAAAGACTGACAACACTGGCCAGAAAAAGCAGATGCCTCAACCTGCCTTTACACTTCGGAAGAAAGTGGTCTTTCCAATCCCCAAAGCCCCTCCTCCCAGCCTCAAAAGTTTGATCAACTCACACAACAAATGATTCTTTCATGTTTTTGTATTATATTCTCAGCTTTAAGTCTTCTGGGTATTATCTTTAACAATATTCATAGCAATAAATCAGCCCGCTCATGTGTTCATAAAGAACTATGATATTCTTAAATCTTGGAAAACATTTTAAACTGGACTCTAAAATTAAGATTATTATGTCACAATTTTGTTTACAATTTACATGAAATTATGTGCACAAAATGTTCACCAAAGGTCCATATATCTCTCCATTTAAAGCCGGAACAATATTATTGATTTTACACGATTTTTAATGAACTATTTTATATAAGATGTCTATCAAATTAGATGTACTTTTTAAACTGTTATGTTGTACATATAAGCCACATTTTCATGTTACCATTACCAAGCAGGTTTACTCTAACACATGTGAATGTATATGTGTGTCCATTGTCAAGACAATAACAAACAATAAATGTAAGGCCTGCCATTTTAAAAGTACTCATAATGTGTTTGTGTTTTGTAACTCGATTCATTCTGTGTGTTATGTATATGCACCTTTTATCACATTCATAAGTCTAAGTCTTTAATGCAGCTGTTCCACACCTTGAGATGACCACTGATTGGCATCAACGTTTAATTTAATCTCCACCAATTAGACAAAAAGACATTGAAATTCATGTTTTGAACTGTTGCTTAAACATAACAAGCAATCTGATTGTGTTCGACTTGAAAAATATGTAATATAGTTAACACATGTTTTGCCTCTTCCTCACAATTTAAAAAGAACTATTTACAATACTTAGTCTTTGAACTAATACACCACATGTTAAATTGCAGATTATTATCAATCATAGTCATTATAGTATCAAAAAACATCAGATGATTTAATTATTGGAAAGCGGAGATTTAATTCATGAGGTCGACAGTTTGGTGAAATCACCACGAGGTGGCGCAACACATTTTGGTGCCAACACATTGCTATTACTTGACCCGCTGGTAACCCGGATGTTGATATGATGTGATTCGGTAATTTCCCCGACCTGGCTACAATGAAAAATATTTCGCATTTCTAGGCCGTTCATATTATTCATGATAAAAACTAAATCTATCGAGTCAGAGTGGTGTCTGACATCTTTCAGTAACCCGCAGTGTCTCAGAGCAGCTCGTAAACATGTCTGAAGAGGTTTCTCCATCACCTGCACTACAGTCCTCCTCTGACACCAGGTTAGAGGTTACATCTCTTCTCTACCTTTGATTACCTTAAACAATGACATGTTAAAGAATGTAACGTGTTTGTGCTAATACTGAAAGAAAGGGAAATATGAAAGTCTTAAAAGTTTATCAAGTTAGATGACACATAACGAAACTGAAGATGGATTTTAGGAAAGTGAAACTTAAGAGATGCAATAATAAGCTAAGGAGTGTATAAAGCGTTATATTGTATGTGTATGTCTCCAGAAAATGATCATTGTGAGTAAGAAAGGATAATTGTTTTGCAGCATTAAACACAACAGTTAACATGGTGATGATTTCCTGTATGTTCAATAAACACAGTCTGGATACAAATCCAGCGCAGAGGACAAACCCTGCAAAGACACCAATACAGATCCTGCATGAATATGGCACCAAAAGTGGGAACCTTCCTGTGTATGTGATGGAGAAGGCTGAAGGAGAGGCTCACCAGCCCAGCTTCGTCTTCAGTGTGAAAATGGCAGACGTCACCTGCACAGGTAAGTTACTGCCCCATCCTGCTGTGTTGAGAGCGACTTGTATTTGAGCTAAACATAACATGCTGATAATCCAGAAAGACCACTTCAGCCTGCATCCTACCATTCATCACCCTCGAATTATTGTCAGAATAGAATAGAATGACTTTATTGATCCCAAACTGGGAAATTGTGGTGTTACAGCAGCAGGTTGTCAGAGCAAATAAAACAATATAAGAATAGATACAAAGCAAATAAGCACTTAAAATATAAAAAAATAAGAACAAGAAGACATTTATACATTAAGGATTTAACTTAACATTCTTACTGGTTAAAAAAATGAAAAATGAAATACAACATTTATTCAGGCTTGTCAACTGAATGTTAAAATACTTGCTGGAGGTAAGAGATGTAAGTTTACAAAAACAGTGATGATAGTACATATGTAATAACATATAGAGGGTTCTCCAGAGCTGTGCAAATTTGTGGCTGTGCAATCAAAGATATACATGTTAAAGTGCAGGAGTGTAGATACATTATCAGTTGTTTGAGTTGCACAACAGCAGATACTCTTGAATATATTTATATTCAGTATATGGTTTCTTTGTAGCCAAGGCATCTCAGGGATAGAGCATTTCAGGTCCTGAGAAGAGGATGAGACACCTTCAGTGTTGAGGTGATCAGAAGTAATCAAGTATTAAACACATTCAAATGTCTTACAGCAAGAATATCCCCTATCATTTTCTGTATTTCCATTTTAGTAATATCCTGAATGAACCTTAACTTTCTTGAACCAAACTCCTTGTGAAATGTCATTGTAGTACAAGCATTCTTTGGCTATTCTGGGAGGTGAAGGGACTTTTGATTACAGTGCTGGAGGTAATGTTTTATATCGTTTGTAATGTAATAAACCAAACTGTATCTTGTTCCAGGTCAGGGTCCCAGTAAAAAGGCTGCTAAACACCAGGCTGCAGAGGCTGCCCTGAAGATTCTGAACATAGATGCTGGAGAAGTGTGAGTAGAGCTGACATAATGTTGATTAAACAGGACTTTCAATCATTTGAATTTATTTCACAATAAAACATTTTAAAATACATTTTATCTAAGAAGACTTTTTGTGAGGTCGAACTGACATTTAAAAAAACACGTTCTTTGAAAAGTTGTGATCAGTATTTTTGACGTCTGAGATCACTAAGAAAATAGTTTGCAGATTGGCAATGTCCTCCATCTTTTTTTTTTAAACCTGATCTGGTATTGAAGGTTTTACAAATGCAGTCCTACAAAAATACAATCAACATGTTACTTGATGGTCTGTTAGTGAGTGTCAAACAGCTTTAAAGTCATTCCTCTAAATCCCAACAGGAACGTTCCCGTGAAGTCTGAGAGTAATGGTGTGGCAGTAGAAACAAACAACCATCCTAACTCTGTGGGGGTGCTGCAGGTGTGTACACCTCTGTGTGTTCTCATGTGTTTCCTTTCATTGAAGATTTTCTGCCTCTATAGAAAAGGCTTATTTCCATTTTATAGACTCACTCAGCTGTAGTGAAATATTTGGCTTTTTATATTCACAGTTAGTATTCTATCATCTATTTCCCCTGTCCTCTTCCTTTTGTCTTCATACATGGTCTGTTATTTTTCAGGAGTTAGCTTTGCAGAGAGGATGGCGTCTTCCTGAATACACGGTACTAAAGGAGTCTGGTCCTCCACACAAGAGAGAATTCACTGTAACCTGTCGAATGGAGTCACTGACAGAGAAAGGTGTGAGCGTGTTTCTAAAATGTCTTGTAAAGTGTATCAGCCCTCCGTTATTCATCCTGCTCTTAATCTCCGTCCTCTGATTTGACAGCTGTTGGAAATTCCAAAAAGGCCGCAAAGAAGGCAGCTGCAGAGAAAATGGTGGAAAAGCTTCAGAGTCTGTCAGGCTGTTCTGAAATCACATGGGTATGTCACATAGTTCTCACAGGCAGCTGCAACATTTCTGATATTCAAAGTCTTTGAAACATGTAAAAGATTTTGTGTTCTATTTCCTTTTTTTTTATTTTTTAGAGTCCTCAGCCCAGTGTTCGATTTGAGAACTTAAGAAATTCCCAAGCAGAGAAGATAACTCTGCTGAGGAGAAACCCGCTGAGCATTCCTAACACTGACTACATTCAGATGATGTTGGAGTTAGCCAAGGAGCAGGGCTTCGAGGTCACATACTTCGACATCGGTGAGCAAAGCACACTCACACAGGCTGCATTCCATTCAGCTTATGGTCGCTCGCATCCCTCGTTTGTTCCAAGGGAAAACGTCTGATGTCTCATGACTGTGTTTTAAAAATGATTATAGATCTATCCCAGTGTGATGGAAAAAATAATACATAAATCTTTATTTATAACAAAAAACCCAAAAAGCGTAAATGTGCCTCATGAGAGAGAGGAAGTGGGAACGACACTCAGGAAAGAAGCCACAGGTCGGATATTTTTTATTTTTAAGATTTAATTTTGGGCTTTTTGTGCCTTTATTGTAGAGATAGGACAGTGGATAGAGTTGGGATTAGTAGGTGGGATTTGAACCTGGGCTGCCCGCTTCGAGGACTACAGCCTCCATACAATAACCATTGGGCCACGAGCGCCCCTCCACAGGTCGGATTTGAACTTAATCCGTCTGCTTGGTGGACTCCAGCCTCTGTCCGTGTGGTGCAGACTAATCATTAGGCACATAATGATTCTTTTAATGACAAGAGGCTCAGTTAGTCTTTCCTCTGATATTTAAAGATGTACTTTAAGCAGAACTAAGAATAAATAAAGATGACAGTTATTAAATGTGTTTCTATGATTTGCTGCAAATTGTTTTTAATTTCCACCGCACAAAATATTCTTAAAGAGGGAAACATTTGGCTGTGAAAAGGGTAATAATTATGAGATAATTGTAAAAAAAAAAAAAAAAAAAACTGGTTTCATCACAAAATCAGCAACGAGGAGAGATGTACTGCTTTGTCAACAGGGGTCGCCAAAATCAACAAACCAAAAGTTTAAAGGTACATGATCATCCTCAGTAATGACAGATCTCAACAGACTAGAGGACCCAAAGAACAAACTTATGTATTTGATGGTCGTGTCAGGTTTTAAACTAAACGTTGTTGTTGTTTTGTTTTAATTAGATGAGCTGACGGTGAACGGACAGTATCAGTGCCTGGCAGAGCTGTCCACCTCCCCGCTCACTGTTTGTCACGGCACAGGCATTTCCTGTAGCAACGCCCACAATGACGCGGCACACAGCGCGCTCCAGTACATCAAGATCATGGCCTCCATCAAGTAAAGAGAAATAACCACAGTCCACATCTGCTTCACCTAAACAACAGCTGACGTCAAGGTGATCTTCACACTCGTCTTCCTGTCCCGTGGATGATAAGAGGTTAAGGTATATTTTTTATAATAATGTGTATCACAAAGAGGATCATGCTCCACAGCAGTATATTTACTTGAATCAGGCAGCTTTAGAGCAGTGGATGTGAAGAGACAAACATTCACTATGAAGCAAATACATCAAGTCTTTGTTTCCAGGTCATACCATCATGTATTAATACAAATGATGAAATATTTAAGCAAACTAGAGAGTGTCTTTGAAGTAGGAATCCATCAGTACGCATCATGAAGCATCTCCTCCTGAACCTTTGATATGCATAGTTTGAGCTCAGCTCTTTAAATGTTTGTTTGTTTGTTTGCTTTTTGGGATTGTATGCCTCTTTTTTAATAAATAAGGGTGTTGTTTGTTTTAGATTCCAGTCGACTTAATTTATTTTTTTATTCCACTTAATCCATGCAGCAGCAAACTGTCTTTGAGAGGAAATAGAAGATCCTAAACTTTTAATCAACTTCATGGATATCTTCCTTACTTTCCATCTTTGAAGTAAACAAAAGTCGCCTGAAATGGATTTGAAACAGTGTATTTATTTAATAAACAATATTTATTTTTTCTACGTCCACTCTTCCCTCTTCCATTATGCAAATCTCCAGTTCAACTCCTTCTGTCTTTATCTGCTTGACTCTCCAAAGAGATCCACCCTGCTCACTTCATATCCACATTCCTCTGTTGCCATGTTTTGCAGTGTGCCTCATAGTAGCTTGTGTTGAATTTAATAAAGGAACTGTCCGCTGTATGAACTGAACCCCGATGGAAAGCAGCAAAGAGCTCGAGAAAGAAGCAGGAAAATAAACAATAACACTAAATGTCAACGAGTGTATGTCTCTGTTAATGATCATAGTGTGGAGAGAACAGATTGCAGCGTTGCCTTCAGGAGCTCTTTACAGTGTTATTGAATAAAATGTCGTGGGAGCTGACCACCTGACAGCCATCAATTCATCCCGCTGTATTAGTAGAAAGGTAATTACATCAGGGACTGTGTACTGGTTCATTCACTCTTGATTAATGTGGCTAAATGAGACACGAGAAACACATGCCGATACGCACAATAGGATGTAAGAAATATATTCAAAGAAAAACACATTGATTTGAACCGCTTTTTAATTCTATTTAAACAAGTTATTTTCTGCCTTTCATTGTGATTTCAATCAGAATACTTTTCTATAAATTAAGCACGTTTGTTCTAAGCATCGTCAGTGTTTAAGCAATGCATCACAAGAGAGGGAGTGATGTTGAACTGAATATCAGCTCTGCTGTGACTGGGTGAAGATAATCACAGATAGTGCTGATGTCCCTCTCGTGTGATATTGATTTCAGTTATACAAGCAGACAGTAGAGGAGAAAATTGAAGACCAAGCCTGATAGAGAAAAACACGTTCGGCTGTAACTGTTTAGAGTTAAAATAATGTAAAGGTTTTATTGATGATAACGACGTGATGTCATCTACAAACAACCTTTATGGAATGCCTCTAGACCAATCAGATTGCTTGTTTGGAACTGACTGTTGTATAATGTCCATTATTAGTGCGGCCAAAGAGGAATAAACCACGTTTAGTTTAAAGTAACATTCCCTCTTTAAAGCATCTTCTAGTAATAAGATGTGAAAAAGCAATAATAGAGTTCATTGATCAGATGTTTGATGGACAAAAAAATGAATATTCTTTATATCAGTAATTTATTAGTTATTTGTAATTATGTCTGCAAAAGTCCCTTAAACCTCCTTTGATGAAAAAGTGTGATTTCTATGTTTAGTTTGATTTCAGACAGAGATATATAAAGACTCTTTCCACTTTAATGATATTAAATGACAAAGTTTTCTTGATAGTCTTGTTTACAGGGAAATGTCATGCTGTTGATTTATGAGCCTCGTCTTCTCCATAATAACCACACACTCGTCATTAGTAGAGTTTTACAGTTTTATTAGAACAAGCACTATATAGCAGCAGTGTACAGTGTTCATGGAAAGATATGTACTTTGTTAAAATTGCACTTTAGAAGGTCTCCATTTGGAAAAGATCTGAAATAATTGAGCTGACACGGTGCTTAGTGATGCATGTCAGTGCGAGAAACAAAACCAAAAAAAAACTACACGAGAGCCCAATTGAGAAAACCAAAAACCTTTTTTTTTCTTTGTAAGGCATCTGCAACATTCATTGGCAGGCTAAGTTGTCTAGACATGCAGGCAGAACAATGGATGAAGAAAGCATGAGGAGGTGTTTTACTACAACTACAGACTGACTGACAAAACCTGGCCTCGACCTCCACACGCAGTTGTTGTGATTCTTGTTAAACTCATGTAGGAGGGAGAATCGGAGCCAGCTTTTGTAGTAGTGGCCCATCTTCTAAGTGTGCTGTATTTACAGTGATGTTGGAGAAGCAGAGCAGTGCACAACATCTTTCACACTGCAAGCATTTTACTGTCAAATAAACCTCTTCTTTTTTTTATCTTCTCAAGTCAAAGACATCTCCCTCTAAATGTTAAGCCAAGACATTTTAACCTCAGTTAAATCCTGAACTCTTTTTTAATTTTTTTAGATCTAGTTATCATCTGTAGGCGTGTGGAGACTTAATGACGTGTGGTGTACGAGTTCTTATCAGTGTGTGTTGGTGAGGCATTAGTAAATGCATTAAGGCACAGCAAGTGATACGGATGCTGATTTGTAGCATTGAGTGGGGTTAAAATAACAAGAGTACATTACAAACAAAAGGGTATGGATGCAAAGCACTACTATCTTTTTGGTTTGTTATCTACAGTACCATATGAACAGTGCACATAAGATGAATATTTATATTCACTGTTTTTCTACCCGGGTGTCCTCGCCCTGCAGTCCTGACTGAATGAGGAGGATACCATGTTGTTGTTTTTAGGGGTTATGTTTTGTTAGTCTGTAACATAAAGTGGGGACACATGATGTTAAAAAACATTAAAGCTAATTAGCTTTGCAATAAATAAAAAAAAAATGCATAAATGTAACTGATTATAGCAGTAAAGTCTCTGAGGAATCAAACTCATTTTCATTTCAGGACAGTTTCGTTTTTTACTGCACTAACTGGTTTGGTTTTCACATTTCTTATGACGCACAACCTTCAGCGTCCTGAAACTGCATTTACAGGTAACAACCTGTAGGTGGCTCTCATGTTTCAAATTGGAATCTCAGCATAATCATGGCTGAGTGACTCATGGGAATGCAGGCATACTAAACAGTTATTTATCAATCAAAAGAAGTGTATTCCAGTTAATATTATAAGGAATAATTTAGCTCATTAATAACCCAAAGTTCTATACAGCTGTGAGAAATGTTACTTTTCTTTATTACACTTTAATTTATGGTCCAATTTTTTGGTTATTTGTCAGAGCAAAGAAACAATTTAACTCTTTTGGACACTGAGGGGAATAAATTATTATTTGGACAAAGTAATAACCATTGATTCAGTTCCTGGTATTCCTAAAATAATGACATATTTGGATTTGTGTTTCACGTGTAGATAAGTGTTCAGCCTTGTACTTATGGGATGTGACTGTTTATCTCGTGCTTTACTGTTAAGTCAAGAAAAATCATGACAGAGTCTCAGCAGGACTTTGAAGCTGTACAATTTACTACACAATCTTTTCTTAGACCCCCAACAACATCCAGTGTTTGAGAGACTTCTCTTCTTCACTGACACTAAAGTAGTTTTCTGCTCCACATTCATTCAGACTCGATGTGTGCCCACTATATATGGAGAGAGTCATGTGTGTATTTATGTAACCATGTGAGTCAGAGGAGCGGGTTTCATGTAACAATGTTTAAAATTAGACAGTACAGCAGGGCTGCTGAGGGTCTTCCTCTATTTACACATCATTCCATGGTGAGTAGCTGGACACTGAGACAGATCTGTGTTGATGGTCTAAAAATAAAAACAAAAACATCTGAACAGTTGTAGGTGTGTCCTGCATCACATGTCCAAACCAATGGAATAGGATTTTCATGTTCTCCTTCCAGCACACGATTGACTCTGAGCGCTCTGTTTTGAAAGAACCCTTTAAAAAATGAATCTGTGGACAGTTTGGACACTTCCTCTACTGCAGACCAGATTAATTTGAAATGAGAGGTTTCCCAGAGAGAGCACTGCTATCTCAGATCCAACATTATTAAAAGGCAAAAAATAAATAAAATCTGCTAATACACATGATGCTATTTCACTCAATTCTGAGTCGAGGATATTTTATAAAAATATCTCTTTTTTTTTCTTCTATAGTAATTGATGACATAAATGTAAATGTGGCTTAATGCCGGTGAAAGCTGCTCTCTAAACATGCACTGTATCGTAGGTAATCAAAACGTCTACATTAGAGACTAATCTAACACAAACTGCTGTCAGAAATCAAATGGCTTCGACTAAAAAGCTCTAAATCGTGTGACTTGTTCCGGCGTCTTTTTAAGGCAAGGAAATAATCAAAGGTCAAAGGAGCTGAGGAAGATCTACATAGGAGTGGTACCACTGTTGTCCTGACAACCCAGCTTCCACAAGCACAATGAAGGCGACCCTTCAGGATGTTTCCATGGATGGATGACCTTGTGGCAGTGCCGCAAAACCTCTACAAGTGTTGCTGGCTGTCAGAGCGTCTGTCAGCTCTGCGGTCCATGCACACAGACGTCTTTGATCGTTAACATGTTTCTCCAAACACCTTGTTGTGCATAGGTAACGGATTTCTTTTCGGTTATATCGGACACAGCGTTCCCCGTGTGTTACCACAGGTTGGCTGTAGGCTCCATATTGATGAAGCCGGGGTTTTTGCGGAGCTCCCAGTATGTGTTGTTGGAGACCCATCTCTCTCTGTGATTGGAATCAACAACTTTCCTGGAGGAGAAGACACAGAAGAGACAGTTTGTGACTGATACACTGAAAAGAAAAGTCATAATTAGGCAGATGTCTTTGGGCTGGTAATGCCTAAAAATGTAATCCCAAACTTGTTTTCATGAAATCCATAATGTAAACCAGCAATGACCAATGTCAGCATTTTTTCACATATTGGCTCTAAAGAATGAATATACAGCTGCTGTCTGTCTGTCACTGTTTTACACATTGAGCTACTGGTCGGCTTGTTTACTTGAAGAAGCGGGGCTCCTGTTTGATCTCGTTCTCCTCTTTCCACTTCCTCCTGGTTCTCTGCAGATCCTCAATACGCTGCTTCTCTGATGAAGCTATCTCCAAGTTCCCCTCCTCCAGGTGCCTGTGTGACCCAAACATCACTTTAGATTGTAAAACATACAGAGAGCACAGATAACACCAGAGCAGTAGCAGGACACATCAATCCACATTAATGAGACAGAAATACTATTGCATTTATTTTCTCTCCTGTTTGTGAGAAATCGGTCGCACATCATGCTAGTGATGCTGTACCTTTGATCGGGCCTGAATCGAGCATCTGTACGAGGCAGGACATCTTTCAAATCGGGGCAAAGCTCATTCAGTTCAATGGCAAACCTGGTGAAGCCGTAGTACAGCTCGTAGTCTGTGGGCATGGAGCCTGAAGAGGAAAGACACATGAACAGAAAGCTGAAAATCTCACAATCAATTCATCAACATTTCTAACTGGGCTTCCTTTCATATCCACTGACATGGGTCAGGAAAACATATTGAGTGAAAATGATCTGATTTTTGTCACTGCCAACATTGATTAGATCTGCCAAAAAGAATAAGATTTTTACAATATCACTTCTACTCCTCAGCTAGCCACGACAACATGTATAATGTTGTCTCATAGTCCACTGCACAGCTCCTACATTACACCTTTTGTACATTTTTATTTTTATTTTACATTTTTAAA